ATTTGTAAATTGTGGGAGATAAAACTTTGATCAACCCATAACTAGCTCAACACATGAAAACACTGACTCCACCTCCTACTGGACAAGGCACCTTTCACTCAAAGAAATCAAACAGACTACAGACTTCCCTGGTGGATCGATAGAAACAATACTTCCAATTCCAGAATGATAAAAATAACGTTGATCACCACATGTAATGCCAGGTTAACAACATAATCTGTAATGTCACTTTACACTCGTGATAGGAGATGAGACCTGCAATTTGATACTAATCCCAAGAGCCAACGAAAACTCATAAGAAGGAAGTACTTTCCTATCGGCCGAAACCAAGATGTTTGAAGCAATCACAATCCACTCAATCCAAGTTATGGCTACTTCTTTACACAAAATAACCAAGTTTAATAGATTTCTGAGGTCTGCAATGATGAATGTGTTTTAGGAATCATCTAAATGGTTCAGTTGATGAATATTATTCGTTTACAATCGCCATATATCTCCAGATGCAATGACATTTTGTCGCTTTCATTACCACACAAGGAAACGTCTGTTGTGATTGATTCTTTCTTTTAAGACGTTTCGGTGATATATTGTTATAAAAGCTAAGGATCATGTACAGATTGAATGAGCCTTTCAGATTGAGAAATCCGTCTTCAACAGTTACAAGGTGATAAACATGCATGTTTGTATTCTTTTCAGTATTTCACGTAACCTCGATAAAGCACCTGACAGGTTTGGAATTGATCAAGGATATCTGTAACATCATTAAAACACATATTCTCTCTTAACCCTTTTGTATACTATAAACTACTTTTTCTTGCATTCGGTATCAGATTGTTAAAGTATATTTCACAGATGTTTCGTGAGGCTGAGATGACCTATCATAGTATTGCAAGAGAAAAGAGTTTTGCTTTAAAGGTCTCCATTTTCCCTTTAGGAGCAATTACAGTTTTAGGGGCTATATCGCACACATGTTTAGGTACAATGGATGATGTTCATATTACGCTTTAAAAACGCGTCAAAATCGAGGTGAAAACGAAAAGAGTTACTGTGATCAAGACCTTAGTAAAGCTTTCAAAAAGTATGCAGACATATTTAACGTGTTATAAAATTTCACACTCAAGTGACCAGAATATGTCCATTGGAACTCCCTTGTTGTTGGTACATGTTCGCCCGTCACACCGAAGACCACATGGGTAGAATGTGTGAAGCCCATCTCTGGTGTTCTCCGCCGCGATATTGCCGGAATGTTGCTAAAATCAGAGTAAAACTTAACTCACCCTCATACTCTTTCAGGTGACAGTTTGACATGCCTTTGCATGTGGCAGTAACATAAGCAAGACGGGGGTGTGTGTGTTGAGTTTCGCCGCACTCTGCAAGACAGGGTGCGCTCATCTGAACACATGGTGAGTGAGTGAGTTTAGCTTAGCTTTACGTCGCACTCAACATCATTCCAGCTACATATATATGGCGGCGGTCTGTAAATAATCGAATCTGGACTAGACAATCCAGTGATCAACAGCATGAGCATCGATCTACGCAATTGGGATACAATGACATGTGTCAAACAAGTCACCGAGCCTGACCACCCGATCCCGTTAGTCGCCTCTTACGACAAGCATGGGTTACTGAAAATCAATTCTAACCCGGATCTTCACGGGCAGAACACATGGTATCATCGCTATTTAATAGCGATTCATAATCACAGTTATGCTTATGATAGAGGCTCAGCCGTGCTACAGACTCGTTATATTTAAATGCCTTGTGGTGATGCAAATGATTGTATAGCGATTAGTATTCTGTTTGTTAATGCAGTTAAAACTGTTGAATGTTCATGAGACCATGACGTCTCCTATAAAATCGGTAAAACGAATGTCGAATTCAGTATGAAATAATATCAAAGTGTGCAAATAATGGATAGAAGCAAACGCAATAGTTACTGTAACGGTAAAGGAACACAAACGTTTACAATACAATATTGCAATATTGTGTTTCAGTAATACAATCATACAATGGTAAGAGATGTAACATAACCTTATGCACCTGACAACACGTTATTGGATGTTATTCAATATATGATTAATGCGTTATCAGTCCGTTATTTGCTGGGACAAAAGACCTAGCGTAACACAGGAACGACGATATCATCACGGCCGATAATATATTAAATATTGCGAAAAACTAATAAATGTCAACATTATTGCCTCTGGTGTATCATTACCTCCATGAAATATGCAACAACTGCCTAAATAATAATGTTTAAGACTTTAGTCGTCAATAGTAATATCGAGTTTGATTGGCTAAAAACAATTCTAACGTACTATTCTAAAGTAATGCCTTTTCCACGCCTGGTGTGCTTTAACATATTACAGTAGGTTGTGCAACAACTCGAATTCATTAACTGGCTTACGTGCACGTATGTAACATGTCATATCTCCTTGGAGTTTGGGTTGTAAAACATTTACACTGATTATCAGTTTACATTTAAATATGTTTAAGAACTATTCATACACACATGTATTTGGTTGTGCCGTTATTGATATATTATGTACAGCGTGCCAGAACGCTCTAATAAGGATGAGGGAACACATATTAAACGTTCTGGCTGACGGACTAAGTGATATTAAAACTGTACTACATATTAGAATGCTTCATTGATGACTGAACATTATTATCATTTTTTTTCAAAACGCTTTGTTGTCAGTTGTTATTGGGGAAACATTAGGAGACATTTATCTGCAGATCTGAACAACATAAACAACGGAAACAATGGACCAAAGAATGAGGTTAATCATCTAGTTTTGTCGTGCAGGATTGCGGTGTACTATCAAAATACATTAATCTGAGCTATATAATATTGCATTCAGATCTGAACAACTTAAACAATGCCTTATGGATCAAAGAATGAAGTTGATCCTCTAGTTGAGTTGGGCGAGATTGTGGTTTACTGCTAACACTTTGAGCCTGAAAAAGAAACAGAAAAAAGGAACATTTCACTTTTTGCGGCATGCATTTCTTTACCTCACATTATTATAATTACATTTTTTTGCTTTTTGCATTCTGAAGTAGATCCGATTCTGATATTTTGAGATCGGATATTATTTCCAGCAGTAGAGGCCAAAGTAGATATTGTGTTTTTAACTACTGAGAACAAAATAAGGAAATTGTGTACCATTTTGCAACAATGTATTTTTCGTGGCAGACAAAAATCGTATTCTCTTTCTTTTTCAGTTGAAACGGCAGATCCTTAAAATGATACAGTAGAATCATGGACATTGCGAACGATCACAGCCATATCATTTGAATACAATTGTTCCCACAGAACTGACACGCTGATTGAAATTCTCTTCCTGTATCGTATACTCAACTTGAAAAGAATAATTCTACACTTGCAGGATAAGAAACGCATTTATGTAGAGTTTGTGCAAAATAATGGTGAAGTATACTTTTCGAAAACATGTTATATATATCAAAATACAATATACATAAAATATGTGTTGAAAAATCTCCAACAGGAACGTTTCTAACGTCTAAAATGCCACTCAAACAAGGAACGTTTACGGCTGTACAACGTTTCATGTGATAATACATTCACACTAGCACCACACGCGTACGTTGGCTGTCAGTCCTACATTTTACACTAATTGCCCATTGTTTTTCAATGCCGTACTGAGCAATATTCCAGCTATATGGCGGCGGTCTGAAAATACGTCTGGACCTGACAATCCAGTGATCAACAGCATGAGCATCGATCTACGCAACTGGGATACGATGACATGTGTCAACCAAGCCAGTGCGCCTGGCCACCCGATCCCGTCAGTCGCCTTTTACGACAAGCATGGGCTGCTGAGGACCAATTCTGGCAAGGATCTTCACGAGGCATACGATTAGGAATAGTCAACATGCAACTCATCCCCATGCTACAGTCAAATTGCGTGACGCCACGTGCCATTGTCATTTTTTGTTTCATTCTTTTTTAATCAGGTGAATCCTGATTCTGACTACGTCGAAGTTTACTTCCAAAGAGTGTCAACATAATACATTGGGCAGTGTGTGGTGCTTTATTTTAGTCATGTAGAGACGAGAGCAAGTTCAATTGTTATACACAATCATCTTGAAGTTATATTTAAACGCAAACTTGTCATACATTCATCTTATTACATTATTCTTTACCAATGTTTTGTGCAAATATGGATCACAGTGTTGCACCATTGGTATGACATACTGGCACCTTCTGTTGTCCCGTTTGCATGGCGTGAGGGTTGGTGAATAGGTCGTGCAAAACGTGTCAATGCTCGACTACAGCACAACACCCACAGCAATGGGCCTTAGCCCTCTGAACAAATCAGAGACAGGATTGGGACCACATTGTCAAAATTGTGTCAGGCGATGAGAGATTCATACCTCTTCGAGTGAATAAATGTTAAAAACAGCTTGCTTCTTATTTCCCCAAACACCCCTTTCGCTCTTTAACAATCGGTTAGAGCGTCCGCCCGGAGAGCGGAAGGTCGCGGGTTCGATCCCCGACCGCGTCATACCAAAAGACGTTAAAATATGGTACTTGTTGGACCCTGCCTGGCGCTCGGTATTAATGGGTACAACGAGGACTGGTCGGCTCGGAGTCAGTATAATGTGTCTGAGTGGGGTATTCATGCTTCACTGCGGCATGGTATCTCAGTGGGCTAGCACTATAAAACCAGCCTAAGTCTGGGCTAGTACAAGCAGCCGCACCTACACATACACACGCATGCACGTCGTCATATGAGCGAATATGCACAACGTTAAACCCAATTTCACCTCACCTCACCTTCAACAATCACGGTGTTCATTGCATCTACTGTCATACTTCACATTGTTTGGAATATTGCTGTGAGAGGCACAAAACAACAAACAAATCGGCAGTCGCTAATCAAATCATAACATCTACTACTAACATCTCTTACAACTTTGAAATTGTTAATGTATTGTCCCACAAAAATATTTTACAAAGAGTTTATAGTGAGTTAAAATTTACATTTATATTTTAAATTTTACGCCACATCGGCATTTTTTCAGCCATAGAGCGAAGAGGCAAAGAGTTTATATATTGCCACATTAAAAGATCATCCACCTAGTCGTTCAAGCTTTTTGAGCACTTCAGAATGTTCTTTTCGTTATGCTCTTCGCCAACGGCGGACATTTGAAATCTGAGAGATGCCCTGGATGAAAGGGAGAAATACTGAGTGTTCACTGGCGCCATCTTTCGTCTTCGGCACATAAATAGTTGGACAAATTGAAATCTAAACCTTTTGGCGCTGAGTGAATAGACATAAAAATTAATAGCATGTGTCACATCACACAGAACAAATGCAAGTGTGTCTATTAGGTATTTGACAGCCCCTTCCATACTATTTTGCTCTGGTGTCCAATACGGAGTCAATATAAGCATCACACATCTCGGTGTTGTCAAAATCACCAAAGTGATAGCTGCTGTTACTAACATTATCGTTACTTGACGATGGCGATCAGCACAGCTTTTACTCTTCTGGTTGCCATGGTTACTGTTTAGGTATTTCTGCGCTTTTCCCGATTTGATTATCCCTCCAACGATTAAACAGTTGAACACAAGAAGGAGCGCACACGGAATGATGGCATACACAGTTACGTTAATCCAGTACCAAACGTGCATCATGAAATATTGATACTTTTCTTCTACATCACAGAACACCATCCCTGGTCCTTCATCTACAAACTGTATTGTCCAGAAGAGGTGGAGGAACATCAAGCTCAAGGGTAGCGCTACAAGAAACACTGCTGTGAGAGACTTCTTAAACGTCCAGCTTTGACCAACTTTGAACGGGAACCACACGGCTGCGAATCTTTCCACGGACATTGCGACAAGCAGCCAGTTGGCAAAGGTGATAAGAAAATTTCCAAGGTATCCAAGAATCTTGCAGCCAACGTTCTGGATATGCAGTCCATTGTCGAGCATTACAAACAACAGAAGCTTATTGACGATTGCGAGATTATCCACAACAGCTAGAAGTGCTATGTATACGGTTAGCGATCTGGCAGGGGACATCTTAATGACTGTAACGATGGTTGCACAGTTACCGGGGAATCCCAAGGCGAGAATAACCCAGAGATAATACGTTTGGATGTCGAATGTAACACTTTCCACCGCTTGCCAAGCCGAATTGTTCATGACTTCAGTACTTTTGTTGGTTAGATTAGCCGCCATCTTGACTTCAGACATGAAATGATTCCCGGTATTCAATTGTTGTTTGCGTCCACTGGACTGAATGTCAAAAGTCTACCTCGAGCAATTTGAAATATCCTTCTTTAAATTGTTGCCTTTGATCCTTGGATGCTCATCTCTTGTGTTGTTTCCTGAAAGCAGAGTAGATGTTTAAATATCAGTCAATATCAACTTATTGTGTTTGACAATAATGGCACTGGCGACCTATGCTAAACATCTCGTGGTTTTGTTTGTTTGTTGTTTAACGCCGCACTCAGCAATGTTCAGGCTCTAGGTCTGTAAATAATCGAGTCTGGACCAGGCAATAAAGTGGTCAACAGCAGGAGCATCGATCTGCGCAATTAGGATACGATGACATGTGTCAACCATTTCAGCGGGCTTGATCACACGATCTCGGTAGTTGCCATTTATGACAGGCATTGGTTACTAAAGACGGGGTTTGTGGCGTGGCGAATATTGCTGAGCTTTGTCACTTACTTTTATTATAACCGCAGTATGGAATATATTTCACCTGTTCGATACAAGTATGTTGCCCATAGGTGAATTATCATAATCATTATCCTAAATAGCAAACACAATGCCTTGTATTATCATAAATATGTGTGTGTAGATAAAATGGGGAAGACACCAAATGTTTGTGACTTTGTCAGTGTATGTTGTCACACTGGTACGACAACCCATCACAAACACATGCAAAGGCAATTCAAATGTTTATCTGAAAAACACGGGACTAATCAAAATAGGTAATTTCAACGGACATCATTATGGTCACTTATTCGTCTTCATGCATGGATCTAACAATGAAACAGACGGACCGAGTTTTGAAAGTAGTTATCGGAAAGAGAATTGTCAATTTGACCATAACTGAACGATTATTCACATTTTTATCGCTCATTCATGTGCATTATTAAGCACTGTAGGGCTTACAATATTTCCCGGAAAAGATCCCCGATGCCCGTTTAGAATGACAGACAATCAACACATCCACTTGATCGACTTTTACGACATTACAGAGGTTCCTGAAGTCTTCTCCTCAGACAGGATCTCCATCGAACCAATGTCCAAAGTATTCTTATATTGACATTATTTCATCTGATAAATTGATACTGTATATAACTTATATCTATATTTATGTAAAGTCCAAAAGCTAAGAGAAACTTAATCAATTACTTCACTGGCATGCGTGATCCATGCAACCAAACATTGCCTGTATATTGGCTTATGACCTTTTTACTGATTGAATTGTCCGTCTACCTGTCACTAGTCCCATATCATATGGTCACTTTGAAGGACAAGATCTCAGCTTGGCTGATTTGAACATCATATTCCACTTGGCTGACTTTGAAAGTCAAGGTCACAGCTTTTGAACGTTGCATTTACCTGATTATAATCACGCCATGTAAAAATAAATAACGGAAACAAGGCCCATTATTCTAAGGAATATGGAGTTACGTGTTCCCTACTAAAATGAAATTTCCCAAATCCAAATGCAGATGGAGATGACATTACTTTGGATGTATCGCTAAAACGTATTTAACAATTAATTGGTCGGTGAAAGCAGAAGGTATCAGTTGCACTCAAACAACTACTTCTTATTCCTTATTAACAACGTAGTGCTAAGACAATGGGATTAAACAGGTTTTGATATAAGGTCTTCCAACAGTTAATATGGTGATGCATACGTCCAAAGGAATCTGTTCCGTCAGATTATTGAGACCGTATAATCAATGGCTTTGAGGGCACAGAATTGCTTCGCAGGTACGGCTCACTTCCCAACATGGGTACAATGTGTGAAAGCAATTTCTGGTGTTCCCTGCTGCGATGTTGCAGCAATATTGCTACAAAAGGTATACAACCTAGTCTGTCTCACAGTCCCCGAACCACATTAATTTCCCTACTGCCAAGCCCTCTTTGCAGTGCTAAAGCCCTAAATAAAGCAAGTCTAGATTTCCTCAGGTTCTGAATCTCTGGTCTCCCTAGAGCTCCTTTTCAATATAAATGGGCTTGTTTGTTACTATCAAAATTATATATATTCAGAGACTAAGCCTTAGTCTATATACAACCCTACTTACACGCTGAAGTAAAACAGTTGTCCTTGTATGTTTGTATAGTTAGTTCCACTGAGCTATAAATTCAATGTGTGTATCATGATCATAATCGAGTCACGATACGAAGGAACAACGGCTTACTTTAAACCACAATGAAGTCATAATGGTGAACAGTGAGCGCATTTATCATCTAATGGAGAGTGTTAACGGTGCAATAAAGCAATCTCATAAACCTGGTATCCAAATTTGATAAATATGCAAATTAAGTCAATACATGAACTACTTTAACGAAACAACAGTTACCCCATACACGCCATGCGAACCCTAAAACGTTCATTGATGACGTCGTCGTGGGTTTACAGGGGTTTTTCCATTGCGTGGGAGAATATGGTGCATAAGAAACCGTCACCTTGGTGTACCCCTAAGAATGCTCGATTCTGTTCATTTTCACGTACGATTTTCCTATTAGTTTAGAGTAATTTTAAGAATGACGTTATATGACAAAAAGATTTTTGACCTCGTGTGTTTCTGTATCATTAACATCTTATACTAGGAATAAAACAGTATAAGATGAGCATAATTCATATTTTTATTTTAATGAAACGGAAACACACTCGGTTAATAATCTCTTTTTATGTTTCCCATGTGTTACTGAGTACGTGTTTATGGCAACATCTGGTCTCGGTTTATAAAGTACATGATATAAATAATATCTCAGATATCAAATGATATGTTTCACATTCATCTAAAGTTACACATGGCTTGGTGATATGGACCAGCTGGTACGACAAATGCACTCAAAAGCAAATATTATATTATAAGGAGAAGAACCCTGTTTTTGCGTCCTGATATGTTTGGAATAATTTAAAGTCACGGCAGCAGAAATTCAAGTCTTTTTGTGGCTATTTCACCGGATGATAAATTCAATGCACTCATGTAACTTTCAAAACAGGAAACCTTACACTGTGCTCATAATATCCTTTGTGCAACATATTTTTGTATAAGCATATATATCGATTACGCAATTACATTTTGAATCAACTTATGGTCATGAGTTGATAGATATTCACCTTCTATATTCGTAAGAGGGGCGGTGGGGTAGCCTAGTGGTTAAAGCGTTTGCTCGTCACGCCGAAGACCCGGGTTTGATTTCCCACATTGGTACATTGTGTGAAGCATATTTCTGGTGTCCCTCGCCGTGATATTGCTGGAATATTGCTAAAAGCGGCGTAAAACCGAACTCAGTCACTATATTCGTGAGACCCCTACCAATGTTTTATGCGCATTTCATTTACTTGACCTAAATATATAATGTTTTTTCTGGACGATGAGTGATGTGATAGTGTAGCTGTATATGTGTATGGAGCTCGAGGTCAGTAAGTATTCAGATCTGGATACCGATGTAAGGCAAGGGTTGTCCTTTTTGACATGTTCCATTTAATCTTTTATCATCAAACACTATACATTCTGGGATAATGGAAGTAGAAGCCTTGGGGATTGCGGTTATAAATATCCATGGTGAATACTAATAATCCTCCCTATCACTTTACAAACGTGTTCCCTGTGTAAATAGTCAAGTCTCATTGCTCATAACATTCTGAGGGTATTGTACTGCTGGAGGTGAGCAATGACAACACGTCGACCCGTGAAGATCCGGGTTAGAATTAGTCTTCACCAACCCATGCTTGTCGTAAGAAGCGACTAACGGGATCGGGTGGTCAGACTCGCTTATTTGGATGACACATATCACCGAATCCCAATTGCGTCGATCGATGCTCATGTTGTTGCTAACTGGACTTATTATTTTGGCTAACATTTCTTACAATCGCCAACAGCTGAAGGGATGGTGTAAATCCAACTAGGGTCCATGCAGGTAGCAAAGGTACTGTAAGTCCCCATGGTCCCTAGTATGGTGATCTACTTTCAGTTGTTGGCGATCTATAGCCTGTTTTTATATTGTATTGTCCAAATAGTGATATTAGTTTTTCCTCGCTAGTTTCTAATCGTGATATTCTAGTTGTTTTACTGTCCTTTGACGACAGGTTTGATATACAGATGTTTCATTTCAATGTCAAATATGTTCTCGTCACGATATGGCTGAAATATTGCCGATGTGACGTAAATCTTACCTCACTCACTCACTCACCGATCTACAGTCATGTGTGTCATGCGGTCCAAGGTTGATGTTGGCTTGACTATCATTTGCAAATAGCAAAGTGATCGGGACTCATCTGAAAACATGCCTACGCAATTTGGCCAGTGAACTCAGTTGACGTCTCTTGGAAATGTGACAGTTTGTCAGCGGCGGCACAACACGTGGCCGTAGAGCATGGAGATGAACCGCATGCAGGCGTTTCTAATCGCCTAACGCATAACTTGTACTGCAGTTGCCTGGTGAAAGTTTGCGACAATTGGATTCATTGTTTGTGCTATTTCGTAGAGCCTGACTCCAGATCAATAGATCCTATTTTTTGTAGCTGATGTCGGACCTTTAAAACAGTGTCTATTGTCAACATACTGCGTTCGTTAGTCTGCTAATCAGACTGTGAAACACCGAAGTATTGGCCAGTTTACACTGACTTCTTTCAACATACCAACACCCCACATTTCGCTAAGTTATAAATAAACAATGAATAAAATCAAGTAAGAAGCAGTAACATTTGACAACAACAGTGGTCCACTGAGATTAATCACGTTCCCTCCAAAGGAATGAAACCAGAAATGACACGATGTACGATGGGCTTTTGAGGCTATTGGGACGGAAAGGTACGAACTATCGGATGATTACGGTTTCTTTTGTCTTACAGACATATATACTCGCTCGGGCAAAGATGTTTACCGCTGATCCTCATACTTTTAGTTAGTTTTAACATTCATAATATCTTGATCCCTTACTATTCTTGATGAGTATATTACAATACGTCTTGTGATGTCAAGCGCGACGAAGGTTCTGAAGGAAGCAAATTCCTTATGCTGCGTTTACACTAGGCCACTAATAGGACACAATAGACACGATTCGGATTTATCTTTGAAAATCGTAACTCATGTTATGAATACCCCCATTTCACTGGGCGGCGACCCATCAGCGAACATCCAGATCTATGCCGATCTCAGTTTCCACGCTCGAGCGGGCTCAATCGTGGAAAAATATACCCAGATGTATGCAATTACGCTTGATCTACGCTGAACACACAATCAACGTACGCTTTATGTGACGCTTGATCTACGCTGAACATACAATCAACGTACGCTTTATGCGACCATGATATGGACGATCTGAACGGCCGATCTGACTGCGAACATATCCCGACTTTCCCCGATTCAACACGCTCAGGTGACGCTCTGATCTCGTTCTCATCATGTTCTAGACCGCTGCAGTGAAGATAAACATCCGATCACTGCCGATCCGATGACGTTGGACATACGCCCATGGCGATCCGTTGCCATTCTCTTCACGCTTCACCCGATCAACTCCCGATTAATATTCGATGATGTCACGATAAAATCGGCTAATTGTCCTGAAATCCGTGTATAAAAGTCCCCGATCGCAGCCGCTCTTCGTTTCTTCATTCACAGCTGCAATTGAAAACATGTTCCCCCAAGCTTTCCAACTGTTGCTCATCCTCCAGCACCAGTTTCAACTGAACCAGAGACAAATGATGATACAGTTGCTACGAATGTTGAACTTGAGAAGAAGAAGAGGAAGAGCATTTTGGGTGCGCCCTTGGTTGGCTCAAGAGAGATAGACTGATGCGTGAGTTGAGATTTGAAGATACTTCATCATTTTTCAATTACCCGAGGATGCATCCTCTCGTATTTGATGAACTGCTCAACACACTTGGTCCAATGCTGGTGAAATCGGACACGAACTTCAGAAAAGCCCTTGAACGAGAATTGTTGGCGATCTATAGCCTGTTTTTATATTGTATTGTCCAAATAGTGATATTGGTTTTTCCTCGCTAGTTTTAATTCTAATTGTGATATTCTAGTTGTTTTACTTTCCTTTGACGAAAGGTTTATATCATATACACATGTTTCATTTCAATGTCAAATATGTTCTCGTCACGATATGGCTGAAATATTGCCGATGTGACGTTAAATCTTACCTCACTCACTCACTCAACGATCTACAGCCATGTGTGTCATGCGGTCCCAGGTTGATAAATAAACAATGAATAAAATCAAGTAATAAGCAGTTACATTTGACAACAACAGTGGTCCACTGAGATTACCACGTTCCCTCCAAAGTAATGAAATCAGAAATGACACGATGTACGATGGGCTTTTGAGGCTATTGGGACGGAAAGGTACGAACTATCGGATGATTACGGTTTCTTTTGTCTTACAGACATATATACTCGCTCGGGCAAAGATGTTTACCGCTGATCCTCATACTTTTAGTTAGTTTTAACATTCATAATATCCTGATCCCTTACTTTTCCTGCTGAGTATATTATAATACGTCTTGTGATGTCCAGCGCGACGAAGGTTCTGAAGGAAGCAAATTCCTTATGCTGCGTTTACACTACAGTCCGTTTGAGACAAAATGAATTGCGATCTAACACAAAAACAAATAGACATAAAAGAACCAAACCAACGCGGACTGCAACAAAAACAACAGACCAAATCTTGAGAAAGGTGCATAATTTGTGTCACAAAAATAAAAAAGTTGTTTAAGAAACTGTCATCATTTGTTTGTGCGTTTTCCAGGTTTGTTACGAGGGCGTAGTGGCAACTAAAGGAACAGCGCGAAAAGTGAGATCTGAATGATCATAAGGCATCTTTATAATCGTGACAAAATATTAAACATATTTAATATTTGCCACGATCATGCCAATTTTCTTAGCTGTCGTTTCAGAACGTAGTACTGCGTAGTAGAGTATGGGCATCGGGACAAATCGTATAAGAGCGTGAAAAGGCGTGAAAAAGCGCAATGGAGCGTGTCGGGATGATCGTAATAACGAGTACCAGGTGTTAGTTCCCATTATCCTACTATTCTACCAAGATCTATTGCGATTCTATAAAGATCTATTACGATCTATTTCGATTATATTAAGATGCCCTGTGCTGTGTCACGTTGTACACAACCTATCTCGATTTAATACGATTCAATGCATTTCTATGAACTTTTTAACACGCTGTACTACGATTAACGTCCACGATCTATCATGATCTATTACGCTCCCTTGTGCTGCGACACGTTCTGGTGCGTTTGGTGTGCTTTACTATAAATTGCGTCACGCTGCCTGACGAAATTCATTGTGATCCAGCTGCAAGCCGTTTCACTCTATTTTATCGTCATTTTCATTGTATAATATGAAAAAGGGGAAAGGGAAAAGGTAAGGGCTCCAAAGTAACTCATGATGTCCAACAATCGTGTCACAATCGTATTTAAGCGACCTTCTTTGACTAAACAGAAGGCAACAAAAGGTAGCAGATCGTTATGATCGTCTCAAAACGTAAGACATCGCAACAGATAGTATACTCAAATCGTGATGTTCGTAAAAAGTTGCTACAGATCGTCAAATATTCGTAACAGATCTTCATTGAAGCGTAACAGATATTCAATCGTAAGAATGCGTATCAGATCCTATCAGAGCGTATGAAACCGTGAAAGAGCGTCAAGAAAGGGGAAAATAAGCAAAACGTCCCACGACCATGAAGATCTACTAGATCTACTGGTTCACGTCGGATAAGCCTAATCATGGCCTAGAGTGAACATTAACAAACAAGAACGAGGAGCCTAGTGGTCTGGTATATTCCGTTAGGTGTGAGGATCCTGGGATCGCAGGTTCGAATCTCATATTGGTGCTCAATGTTACAGTGCCATGGTAATAAAGATGGGCTTCATTCGGTTTATGTCAGAATTAAGGTGAAACGACGCGATTTTATAACTTGTACTCAAAATCTCTCATGTCTGACAATTGAAAACGATCTGTTATTTGGATCAGCAATGATATCATTAACGTACCAAGGATACTAATAACTAACCATTATTCCACAATATTGCTGTCACATGCACTAAGCTAAAATGTATTTATTCCATGACTAAATCAATTATACGTTCCGAAAGGTTCTGCTTCAAACAATATAAAGATGAGTGAGTGAGTTCAGTTTTACGCCGCTTTTAGCAATATTCCAGCAGTATCACGGCGGGGAATATCCCAAATGGTCTTCACACATTGTACCCATGTGGGGAATCGAACCGGAATCATCGGCGTGACCATTTAACCATTAGACTACTCCATCGCGTCAAACAATACAAGAACGTGTCACTAACGTTCAATCATCAAGATCTATTGCATCCTTTATACAGAGTTTACAAGTTCAATATATCTGGACAAACACTACGCAGCTTGAAATTGACAATTTGGCATAACCTGTTAGGGTGTTCTTTAAATGGCAGCCTAACCTGCACTTGTGACATGGCAACATCTTGCAGAAAGAATGTTACATGCCAACAACGTTACAAAACATCAATTATGAAAAAAATCAATTTTCGTTCTAAAGTTGCATTTTAAACTGTGATAGCATCGTGCACTGTTACGGCAATGGCCATGAGACTCACCAATAATAGATTAAATTGTTCTTTTGTCAAAATAGACACAGAGTATGAATATAACTTTTTTTTTTAAATGTACTATTACAGCAATAATCAGAAATTAAAGAAGTTCATGCTCATAAATTGTTTCCACTGGAATAGGATATCATACAAGTATTCCTTATTCGCTATTTGACAGCATTCAAATAAAACTAGGAAGTTTCTTCCTTCAAAGTTGTAGGTGTTAGGCAATTTTAAAAAAGAGATACCACAATTATCAAAATTGGATTTACATTCTTATTGTTGAAATCCTGACCTTGGGATTTACAAACAAATCGATAATCTTTCATCGATATATAGCAGGGTCAACGTGGCCATAGAGTACCAACACTCTGCTGGGGTGTGAGGTTGTTTATTTCATAGGATGAAACATTGCTGAATGTTAAACGACACCCATGGGTGGTACAAGGGTGTACAACAATCGGGCACAGCACCAGACTTATGGACGGGGACTTATCTGCTCAATGTCACACTGTGTCTGTCCAAGCTGTCTTTACATGGCAAAGAGTCAGTGCAGAATGAGTGAAATTGTGCTGGGGTTAATGAGACCAATCAGCCCAGAAGCGTCATGGCTTGGGCAATTAGTGAGACAGGCCAAGCTCTAAAGCTTAAACCTTAAACTGCCTAGAAATAATATAGCTAAAAGGAGAGAATAATAATATGATTAAAATACTATATTTACACTAAAATACACCTGCCACATACTTCCCCCCACTATGAAATGACGTCCACGTCATTTCTGGCTAGTGATGAGCGCAATCATGGCTTCTCTGATGTTGGCTGGCTGGTTCTCGAGCATCCCGTCTTGTAGGACTGCAGACAAGAAGTTAGCTCTGATGAGCCAATCCGGCGGCGTTGCGGTCTGGGCTGTTGACTGTGCTGATAGGGCGAACTCTCCACTTCTCAACCACTCCGGTGGCCGTCGTTCCCTGAGGGATCTCCGCGGTTGTGGCGTCGGTGCTGCCATTGGCTCAGCAACTTCTCTGTCGGGTGGAACATCCACATGCTCAGCTGGAGGGTCTTCTGTCGGTTGGTCCTGCTCAACCTCCTGAGTAGAGTCTCCTGTCCTTTCCTCTCCATCGACTTGAACCACGTCCTGAATATCCTTAGCTGGCTCCTCTTCAGGTGGCCTGTCAGCTGGTGCAGTAGCTGACCCTGAACTGTCGGATGGGTAGATGGAAACAATCACTACTTCCTCCTCTCCTTCCTCTGAAAATCCGTCCTCGGAGATGCTGGCTGTGGTGTTGTCTGGTATGTCCTGGTTATCCTGTGGCACTTGAGGTGGTGGCAATGACTTCCGTTTTCTTAGCTTCGGTGTTGGCGCTTCATCCTGATGGGGCAGATATCATACTGGAAGCAATAGGTTCCTGTGCAGTGTCTTCTTCCTGCCGTCACCATTCTCCTTACCAACGGTGTATACTGGTATGGATGGATTAGGCTGCTCCAGAATCACATACACATCTTCCTCCCATCGGTCTGCAAGCTTGTGCCGTCCGTCAAATGCAAGGATCTTCACCAAGACTCTGTCTCCTTCCTCTAACACAGCTGCCCTGGCTCTCTGATCATATTGAGTCTTCTGCCTCTTCTGTGACTTCTTAGCTGCGGAGGAGGCGATGTCATAGGCTTGAGTGAGTCGTTCCTTAAGGTCCTTGGTATATGCTGCTGTGGTCCTTGACTTGCTTGGCTCCATGTCAAGTCCGAATGCGATATCAACAAGCAAGCGTGGATGGCGACCATACATCAAGAAGACCGGAGCAAATCCAGTCGACTCATGCCTCGTACAGTTGTACGCATGTACTAGAGGTCCAACATGGGCTTTCCAGTTCTTCTTGCTGTCCGGTTGAAGGGTCCCGAGCATATTACACAAAGTCCTGTTGAAACGCTCGCACATTCCATTTCCCATGGGGTGATAGGGAGTTGTCCTGGACTGCTTGATCTGTAGCAGGGAACATAACTCTTGCATTAACTTGCTGGTGAAGTTAGCCCCTTGGTCCGAGTGAATGCGTTGAGGAATCCCGTAATGAATCACAAAATGGTTGAAAAACACTTCCGCTGTTGTTTTTGCCGTCATGTTCCTGGTAGGATATGCCTGGGCATAGCGTGAAGTGGTCCGTGATTACAAGCACATGTTCCTGTCCTCCTTTAGATGGTTCAAGAGTGAGGAAGTCCATACAGACAAGCTCCAGTGGCTGTGAGGTCTGGATGCTGACAAGTGGTGCTCTTCCTCCTGTTGGTGTTTTCCTCCTAAGACACTGAACACAATGCTGAACATGCTCTTCAACGTCTTTGGTCATTCCTGGCCAGTAAAACCTTTCCTTGATCAGTGATAGGGTCCTATCTCTCCCTGGGTGGCCGATGTTATCATGTAGACTCCTGAGAGCGGCTGGGCGGCATCTTGTTGGCAGCACAAGTTGCTCCTGTGTTTCATCTGCTGCCTTGACTACACGATACAGAACTCCTCGTTTCAACTCCAGTTGATGGAAGTGCTTGAGCAGCTTGGTCACACCTGGAAGTGCAATAAACTTAGTCCTGTCTGGCTTGATCCTATTCCGTAGATGGTCAGTGATGATACCAAGTTCTTGATCCTTTGCCTGAGCTCGTCTCCAGTCTCTTGCATTGAAATCACATCTCTCATCAGTGATGTCTTCCTCTCCTGTGATTTCCGATGCAGACATACTGAGGCTCTCAAATAAGCTTGGAACTTGAATGGCATCACAGATAGCCTTAATTGATTCCAGGTTGACCTTCTCCGATTCTTTCTTCTCTGGCAGCCTTGACAGGATGTCCGCGTCTGTGTTAGCTTTGCCTGATCTGTAGTGGATGGTGAAATTATAATCCGATAAGGAGGCTAACCAGCGGTGTCCTGTGGCGTCCAACTTGGCTGTGGTAAGTACATATGTCAATGGATTATTGTCTGTCATCACTGTGAAGCTGTGTCCGTAGAGGTAATCATGGAATTTCTCCGTTATCGCCCACTTTAAACACAGAAACTCCAACTTGTGAGCAGAATAATTCCGTTCTGATGGTCGTAATCCTCTACTGGCATATGCGATGACACGTGGATGTCCGTCTTGGTGCTGATACAGAACTGCTCCTAAGCCGTGTCCACTTGCATCTGTGTGCAGTTCAAAGGGTCTTGAGTGATCAGCATATCCGAGAATGGGAGGGTTAGTAAGTCGTGTCTTGAGTTCCTGGAATGATCTCTCTTGTTCCGTCTCCTATTGCCATTCCTTCGTGCTTGGGGCACGCTTCTTGGATTTCTTATCCTTGGGCATGAGCTGAGATAGAGGCCTGGCAATCTTCGAGAAATCCTTAACAAACTTGCGGTAATAACCGGCAAATCCCAGGAATCGCCTTACTTCTTCTAGATTAGATGGAGGTGGCCAGTTAGCAATCTTCTCAATTTTGTCCGGATCCGCTTCTATGCCGTTTTCTGATACAATGTAGCCGACATAATTGACTCGACGTTGGAAAAACTTGCATTTCTTGGGTGCCAATTTCAACCCACAATCCATCAGTCTTTGGAGTACAAGTTCCAAATGCTTGACATGCTCCTCGTGGGTCTTTGAGAAAATGATCACGTCGTCAAGGTATATTAGACAGATGTTGAGATGGAATCCTTCAAGGCACTGTTCCATTAGTCGTTGATATGTGGCTGGTGCGTTGGATAGTCCAAAAGGCATTCTGTTGAATTCATAGAATCCAAGAGGTCCTACAGTGAAGGCAGTCCGTTCTTTGTGGCTTTCCTCAATTTCGACCTGATGGTATCCGGACTTCATATCCAACACAGAAAAGTAGCGATTTCCCTCAAGACATTCTAGCAGATCTTCTATCCTTGGAATGGCATATGCGTCCTTAATAGTCCTCTGATTCAAGTCGCGAAAATCAATGCATACGCGTAGTTTTCCGTCTTTCTTTCGTGCCAGTACAATGTTGGATGCCCAGGGACTGTGGGAGTTCCGAATAACTCCAGCTGACAAGAGTTGATGAAGATGAGATCTAACTTCTTCAAACATGCCTGGAGGAATATGTCTGTAGCGCTGCTTGAAGGGTTGCTCATCATTTAGTTCAATCCTGTGCCTGACAGCTGTGGAATGTCCTAAGTCCTCATCATGCTTGGAAAATATGTCCTTGAACTTCATTATGACATCAAGTCCCTGCTCCCTTTGTTCTGGCGTTAAGTCCTTCTCCTCAATCTCAATCCGGTCCAACAGCGACTTATCATCAATGGGTCTACCAGTGGGTGGGTCCTGTAGAGTGACTGGCTGAAGCTCACATAATATGGCTCTCGGTGCAACAACAATGTTCCTCGTAGTGATGTTGAACACATGAACGTCAATGGAGTTGGGGTTGTCTCTATCATAGGTGATGATAGTGGGAGCTATATCAACCTCTGATGGGATAGTAGCTTGTGAAGTAGGATGGAGGAGTGCAGTATACCTTGGAGCTCTAAGTCCCTTGCTGAGCTGGCCCTTGATGGTGACTTTACTGTTTGAAGGGATGATGATATTCTTGTCTTTGGCACTCTTGACAAGTCCTAGTCTGTTTTTATTCCGTTCAAGTTCCTTGGCCTCAATGACAATGGTTCTGAAGGTTAAGTAACATGGCGTATGTAGAGGAGCTTTCTGTAGATACTTGATTCCATGGTTCTGTTTGCATTTATCCAAGAGGCAATTCAAGATGTTGGTACTTAGTAGAACTGGAACGCGACCACTATACCTTGTAATGGGGACGACTAGGAATAGAGATGAGATGGTATCATTGTCGTTTCCTCCACCGACTAAAGAGAGTTCAGATCTCACGAATCCCTTATATGGTAGTGCTTCACCTCCTGCACACTCAATATCCAGAATGTCTCCTAGTGGTTCCAGAGGAAGATGCTTGAGATTATCCTGATAATCTCCTTCCGATATAATTGATACGGTGGCTTCAGTATCCAGAAGAGCTTGCACTGGTTTTCCATCAATGAGAACCTCTGCTTCGTTGGCATGTCCTACAAGTCCTTATGGTATCCTGTTGGGGCCTTGTAAAGAGCCTAGTGGTAACCCCTTCCCATAGGCCCTTGCCAGTTTAACGGGCTTCGCAGGTGATCCACTCGTACACGACATCCTATTGCTATGTGCCCAGTGTAGCCACATCTGTAACACACAACATCATTCTGTCTTCTTTGAAGCGGAGTGGGGTAACTTGCCAGCTGCTCCTGTTCATATCCGTAGCCCTGTGGTCCTGAGTGAGTGAAGGTACCTTGTGACTCTTGAGGCAATGGTGTTTGAACTTGAGGTCCCTGAACCTGTGTCTGAGCTTGGGCATCCTGTGGTCCATGTGGCACTTGATACGGATAAGCCCCTGAAGAACTGTATTTATGTGGCAGTCCATACCCATGAGGAGGCAGTTGTGGCTGGTTACATCCATAATCTTTTCCTCTTCCTCGACCTCTATGCTTGTGTCTTGGTCCATATCCCTGTGTCTGAGGAAGGAAACTAGCTTGATGCTGGAACACATGCGCTGGCTGTTGTTGCCTTTCCTTGATCTCAGTGACCTCAGTGCGTAGTTGGTGTATGGCTGTAGTGAGCGTGTCCAGGTCAGACTTGGTGATGGTCTCGGATGGAGTAGCCATCATTGCTGAAGCCGACTGTTTCCGCGATGATGATGGTGCTGGTTCTCTTCCCTGCCTCAAGTCATACTCAGTCTCCCTAAGTGCGATCCGTAGCTCGTCAAAGGAAGAAACAGAATCAAATTTGTGGCCTGATACAGACTTGAGCGATCTCCGTAGTCCACTCCACAACATGTTCCTCAACATTTCGTCCTGTTCCAGTGGTGGAATATCATGATGCTCCGTGACCTTTGACAGGAAGTGCTCCAAGCGGCATCCCTATAACGCAACATCCTCTTCATCTCTCTGAGCGGCACTATAAAACTGAGCCATGAGGACTTCCTTTCTCTGCACAGTCCCATAAATGCTCTGTAACTTCCTCAGTAGGTCTTGGATAGTTGCCTTTGGTCCTAGGCGCATGGCAACACGAGCGGCCTCCCCCTTCAAAGAATGTCTGATGGCTTGTTCCAGTACAGCGGCACTGTAGACAGACGACTGTTGAAGGCAATCCACTTCATAAGTCCATAGATCAAAGGTTGCATCCTTTCCGTGTAAGTCACCACTGAACGTAGGTAGCTTGGGATATGGAGGATTGGCTGAGGCTGTGGCTGAGGCTGTGACATGTGACTTGGCTGTAACTTGTGACTCATCGCCTAGTGGCTCAGGAGGAGCAGACAGTTTGCTTGGTTGGAGTGGTCCCTCTTGCTTTGCCATGTCCTGAATCCACATCTTTAAGTCTTCCGGTTTTTCTGCCTTGGGTTGTAATCCCAACTTGTGGAATAACTCAACAATACCACTAAGTTCTTCCTGCTTAAACTCCATGGTTTAAGAGAACAACGTGATACAAAATATAATGATGCGATGAGTTTAAGAGTGAATTGATTTAACAAGGGATACTTAAGGTGAGTGGGGACAACCTTCAGTCGCTCTACACTTTCCTGACAATGTCTCGCTGATTGTCTGGTTTATACCACTTCAATCAAAACGTGCATTTCAGGGAGAAGGGTAGAGCAACTTTGGTGTGTGTAATAAGATGATTACATGATTTGTGGAATGATATTGCAATCAGTAGAAGGAATGGCGCAGCGCTAGGGAAGTATGCCTTCCATATGTAAACAATTGATGAACGAATAAACACCCAAAAATTTAAGGTGAAATGGAGAATTGGGAATGTAAATTCAACTTAAACTATAACACAGAAGTAAAACAATGATAATGCAGACGGGCAATACAAGGAGCTAAGGGTAAAGGGATGGGAAATGAGACTAAGAAAAGGTGCAGGGTGCAAAGTCTAAGTACAGTCTGTCGTCAAATAGTCAGTAAATTAACACAAGTTTAACTAAAGCTTTATTTATACCTACCCGATAGTAAATTACGCTATCATTTTATTTTGTTAGCAAGAGAGGAAGGATATAGAGTATGATATTAACCAAACACACACATTGACACACAAACTGTAAGTTACATTATGAACTAAAGGGAATGTACACCTACCACTAATGAAATGAATTTGAAATGTAAATGCAGTAACGAACTCTTATGAATATTACACTAAAAAAAACCCCAACTAACTGCACTAAACACAAATAAACTAAGATAAACCCAAAACTATACCTATGAAAAAAAACTGAAATGCTACATGGTATTACATTGCACTATGCTAATCAAAATCTAAACCTTAACTAAACCTAACTAAACTAAACTAAACTAATCTAAATTGAAACAACTAAGTTAACTACAAATATAAACAAACAAAAATAGTTACATGATAAATACTAAGTGTTGGTACCAACGATGAAGATAATACACTAAATATATAAGCCGGCAGTAATTACGTAACTTGAGTTACATAACTGAAAATTACATGAGAATATTAAGTAAAAAGATGAAAAGTTCAATTACACAAGGAATTAACACAAACAATGAATATATATTACATGAAAATTACGCCAGGTATATAATACACAAAGGCTATAACTCACGTGAAGTGTCCATGATAATCCTCAATCCAAATACATGTACATGAAAACACAAGTCACTATACACATAAAGGTCACAAAAGAGTCACAGGCTCTCCAAGAAGGTCAAGGTCACAGTGTCATATCACTGGTCATCATCCAATGATGACGTAAACACAGATCACAATAGTCCAGTTGTCCAAGAGTATCTCTAGGTGCTGCCCGGTTCATCCATGCCCGAAACAATCCTCACTGGGGGCTCCAAATATAGCAGGGTCAACGTGGCCATAGAGTACCAACACTCTGCTGGGGTGTGAGGTTGTTTATTTCATAGGATGAAACATTGCTGAATGTTAAACGACACCCATGG